TTGGCTGAGGCGGGTTTTCGGGAGGCATACTAGCACGAACTCAGGAAGTACCAATTCCCCTAGTAAATCCCTACTTTTGGCGTGTGCGTATGGCATATGGCATATTGGGTGCTTCTGAATTGCTGGGCCCTCCTCGCAAGTCCGCCGCGCTGCTCAGATCCAAGGATTCCCCAAAAGCCACCTCTGCATCCTCTGCCGAGTGCTGGAAGCGGGACAGGGCCTGAGCCAGCCCCGCCACCTTGAAAAGGATGCGGTGGAAGCTTCAGGGGAGGGGAAGCGAAGACTACCAGAAACCATGCTCATCTTACGGGCGTGAGGGAGAAACCCTGAGTTGGATTGTCATATGGTATGTTCACCATGGGCTTCTCGACCGAGGAGCATCTCTCGCTCGGTGCGCTTTCTTGATCTCCTCTACGCCAGCCTGTGGAAGCAACAGCTTCGGAACTGGGTCCAACTTGCCACTGGGTCATGCGAAGTGACACTGTGGCACTAGGAACCCGACTTGCCACTTGCCCAGCACAGCTCTGGCCTTCACCTCAGACTCCGCCACTCAAGACCCTAAACCCTAAACCCTAAACCCTAAACTCAAGACAGCTCCCAGCAACTTCAAGCCATCCCCAGGCTCCGGCCAGGCGAGCCGCCATCTCCATCCTTAAGGATCTTAAGGCGAAAAGCAGAGAGACGTGCACTCAAGGAGAGACCAAAAGGAAGGGGACTTCCTTAGCTGCGGCCATGAGTCTCAACGGAGTGTCTGTGGACCGGATCTAGACCTCAAGAGCGATCTTTCGGGCAGCTTACGGAGAGGGCCCCCTTCCAACCAAGCTTCTGGCTAGCACTGCGCCTGACCGCATAGACTGTCCTCAAGGCAGCTGCTGGGCAGCTGAAGATCGACCTCTGGTCTGATGTGAGACGGCTCCTGAGGTAGCTTTCGCCATGGGCCTCCTTGAGAGCGCCCTGCAAAGGGGAGTTTGCCCAGATCCCCCCCAGAGCTAACCTTGCTCCAAGCTGTCTCACGCAGTGTGTGCCTGCAAAAGATCCACACGACGGCTTCGGATGGACGCCTTCGTGGCTGCTTGAGGCAAAGCTTTGTGGTGAGAAAGGTCCGGCCCAACACCCCGGACACGAAAAATCAGACAGATGACACTGAAAGCATGGTGGGTTCCGTGGACTCTGATGCAAGATGTGCGCATCGGCCTCAACAGGTTGCCACCAGAGTCTCACCGCTTTCAGCGCCTGCATCAACGGGCTGCATACATCGCAGGCCGAGTTCCTGCTCCCTCGCTTGCCACTTGTCACGCAATCTGTAGGAGAAAGCCATGAAGACAGCTCTGGATGCGTGCACCAGACTCGCGTACCGACAATATGTCCAACGGCAGCCTCAGAGAACTCTTCGTCGTTTTGGCTCTCCCAGAGAGCCAGCTGCGACCTTGCGATCATGAAACAGGCAATGACCGGCAATGCAGGGCTGCAGCCATGCAACTCAAAAAACACCGAAATGATAGAACCATTTTCAGTCACAGTTGGCCTAGACGGCGAAGTTGGCGGAGAAGACGATGGCTTGCGCCTGCTGTTTCAACACATGGGGAGCTGGAGATTAGTCGGAAGCCAAAGCGGCTCGTGCCTGTCGCTGTCCACGCTGCGCTGCGACGCACCGAATCCTCGGAGCCCATAGAGTTCCGAGGTGGGCACCCACTCAAATGATGGGCGCACTGGCACCGACAGAAGCCTCGCAAGAAGAGCCTGTGGGCTGCTGGCTGGCTCTGATGCTCGTTTCCTCTCAAAGCTCTTCCGCCACTTTGGACGGAGCGACATCGCAAAGAGTACTCACGACCTTCATGAGACTTGTTTCCTCGGCAAGCAGGAAGAGCACGTTGGACATTTTCACAACCAGCATCGTCTTGCAACCGCTGCCGCTTGGGCTTCCAGGGCCAGATAACAGATATCACACAGGCCCACTCAGCATGCGGCAGTCACGTCTTGCAGCTTGACATAAACTGTGTCAGGCGGATCCTGTGCGCGACAAGAGACGTCATGGATGAGCTTTCAGACGAATGCTGCTGGCCTCTCTTCTCTCTTCGCGGCAGACTTCCGGTGAAACCTTCCGACTCGCACATGGCATTTTTGGCTTGCATGGCGGTCGCGTATACTGACTTTGTGGTGTACACAGAGAGCAGAGAGCGCTTGGGGCATCGGCGCTGGCCTGGGTCTGCCCCTGCAGCGACACGGCTGCGCAGTCCACAGAAGCCTCTGCCACCGCGGCAGCGAGGAGCGGAGCATCGTCATCCTCCACAACGCTACACAACGAGAGGTTGCTTGCTCCAAGTAAACTCGGGTCCGGGTGCTCTGATAGGACAGGAGGCTTAGCAGGCTTAGGTTGCAGATCGCATGCTCCCGAGTTGCCCCGCCTGCGGGAAGATTACGCTGACCAAGCCTGGGGCAAAACAAACAAAAAGTAACCAGCAGGCTAACACCTAAGACAAAGCCATGCAAGACGAAAGCCCCTCGTGCGACTGTTCCACGCCGCGCCTAAGATGGCGGTAGCTGCGATGGCATTGCTGCTCGCGGCAAACTTCCATGCCATTGGAGATATCTGCTGCTGGATGGTCGACACGAACGGGGCTGGCCAGGGCCGCAGCTGACTTGCAAAGCATGGCAGGTAATAACAAAAAACACATGCCTGCAAACACGAAAACCTGTCAAATGATCAGTCAAGATCTTTGTTTCTTCGGGCCTCTTCGATAGTGATGCGCCATCCAGGAACCTCCACATGTCACAGCTACCCAGCTACTGGTCGAGGCTCGAGAGCAGAGGAAGTCAGCAGAAGGGCCTCGACATTTGCCAATCTCCTTGTCAAGCGTGGAGTTCCCAGAAATGCGGACCAGTCGCAAGCGGGGCGTCACCTGAAATGAAGGGAGGGCCCACAAAGAGCAGGAGGACGGGAGCCATCGCAAGTGACGGAGGTTCGGGCCTCGTTGAGGGAGTCCTGCCAGCTGCGCAGCATCAAACCTCCAAGCAGCTCCATGGCTGTTGTCTCAGAACCCTTAAGGCCTTAAAGCCCTAAATGGCCCTAAGTGTACATGCAACTGTCTCAGAACCCTTATGGCCGTACAACCCCTAGACGCACAAAGACGCATTGCACCCGGTGCAGCGGACGCCTGGCGCCCCCAGGAAGCTGCCGGATTCGGCCCCCAGCCAGCGGAGTCCGGGCCCGGCAAAGGCGAACTCGGAGATCCTGCGTCTTTAGGGTTTAGGGTTTAGGGGTTTAGGGTTTAGGGCCCCAAGGCACGCCCCGAGGCAAGGCACAGTAGGACATAATCCTTGTCTTACAACCATTTAATGTACGGTATCATGGTTAGGACAACCATTGCATAAGTAGTAAAGCGCAGAGGGGCCCGGGGGGGGGGGGGGGGGGNNCCGACCTTCTCGAAGTTTTCAGCGATGGCAGGGTCACGGCAGCTGCTGCTGTCCTTGGCTTCAGGGGCCAAGGGCCTGCTCTCAGCTAAATTTATTTCTTATGTCTTGTATGTTATACCTTATAAACTAACCAGCATAATATACATACGATTATGTGTATGTATATATATATGGATGAGTACACAAATAGCAACAGACTTTAGAAATAGAAATAGATATAGGTGTATGTATATATGTATAT